TATAAATATATATCATTTCACTTCTAGCATTACATTTTGTATTCTATTTACTAATTTATATATATAGCATTTTTTTTTTCTTTCCTTCTTTCTTTGCGAAATTTTTTTTCATTTTCACTTTTCTTAACATGTTTTGTTCATGTGTTTTAAAAAAAAAATTAATATATTTATATATAAAATCAAAAAAGTACGTTATCTAAAATGTAAATGTTTTAATATTTATACAGTATACTTGCATATTTATCCATTGTTGAAATATTTAATTTTTGTGTAACATCACATTTGAAGCTACCGATAATCTTTCTCTCGATAATCTCAATAATTTCGACCAATCAAAACAGATATATATTATATTTCTTCTTTACTTACTTTCTTTATTATGTATTTCTTTTGAATTATTTCTTTGATCATTTTTTTTGTTACATATTACTTTCAACAGATTGAAAAGTAATAAATTATTAATGTTTATTAGAATAAATTAATAATGAAAATATATTTTTCATATTACCTGTATATGTCATAAACTCATGTGATTTTATTTATAATAAATTATATGTTAATATATAAAAATGAAAAATGTAAATATAAAAATATTAATATTTTTTAAATACAATATTAATATAAAAATGAAAATATAAATATAAAAATATTAATATTTTTAAACACATGATAAAATTTTATGTAAATAAACAATTTGAAATATTTGATTTAAAATTTTAATTTGCATAATATAATAAACAAACAATTTATATAAATAAACTAATTTACATAATAAACTGATTTATATAAATAAACAAATAAACTGATTTACGTGAATAAACTGATTTACATGCATAAACTGATTTACGTAAATAAATTGATTTACATAAATAAACAATAGGAATTATTTAATTATAAATATACCCTGATTCTCCATATTTTCATTTTTTTAAAACTTAAGATCTCTTTCTTATTTTTTTTAAAAACAAATTTTTTAAACAAAAAAATTTCAAAATGGCTCAAATTATTAAACCTTTGAATAGACCATTTGAAGAATATAAAGTTCTTGAATTACTTGGAGAAGTAAATAATTAAATTTATCTTTCTTTTTTCTTTATATAATTAAATTTATTTTTTTTTTTCTTTATATAATTAAAAATATCATAATTATTAAAATAATATTAATTTTTAATTAAATTTTTAATTATAATTAGGGTGGTTTTGGTATTTGCTTAAAAGTTGAAGATTTAGATGGCCAGATTTTTGCTTTAAAAGCCATTAAAAAAGATACTTTGGGACAAAACCAGGATGAAGTATGAATAATTCTATAATGTTTTTATAAAATTTGAATTCTTTTTAATTAACTTATTGATTTTTTTAATAGATTCTCAATGAAATGGCAATTCATGGAAAATTAAATCATCCAAACATTGTAAATCTTTATGATGCCTTTGATGATAATAATTATGTTTATTTTAAAATGGAACTTTGTCCAAATCAAGTAAGAAATATTTTAAATACATTATTATTTTATCATTTATATCTATTTAATATATAAATATATAATACAATATTTAAATTAAATAATATCATTAATAGTCTCTCTTTGAAATGGTAACCACTCGAAGAGAATTGACTGAAATTGAAGTGCGATTCTATATGCTACAACTTTTGAATGCTGTAGAATATATGCACAACAAAAATATCATGCATAGAGATCTTAAGCTTGATAATATCTTCTTATCAGAAGATTTAGATTTGAAAGTTGGAGACTTTGGTTTGTCAGTTGAAATGGAATCCACAAAACGCTTAAAGTAAATAATTTAATAAATAAATAAATTAATTATATATTTAATAATATTAATAATATTGATAATATTAATAATACTTTATAATTATAGTTATGCCTGTGGAACTGTAACATACATGGCACCAGAAGTCTTGAATACTGACATTGGCCATAGCTTTGAAGCTGACATCTGGGCTATTGGTGTAATCATGTAAATAAAAATTTATTATATATATATTTCATTATTAAATTATTAATTAAAATATTAATAAAAATATTATTTATATTTAATAATTAGGTATATGATGATATTTGGTAGTTCACCATTTGGCGGATCTGATCAAGCATCAGTGATCAAGTAAGTGAATTTATTAAATTATTAAATATAACTTGTTTATTATAATTTGTTTATTATAAATAATAATAATTTTAATAACTTTATAGTCAAATATTAAATGTCGGTTATGATTTTCCTGCTAACACTGAAGTGTCAAATGCAGCAATGGATCTTATATATTTAATACTCAATCCTGAGTATGGTAAATATAAATATATAAATATATATACTGTATATATAACAATAATATAAATTATAAATTAATTCTTTTTATAATTGCTTCTTCTTTCATAATTATCATAAGATACTCGTTTGACCATTTCAGAAATTAGACAACACCACTTTTTCAACGGCCCAACTCCTCCTGGATTACCAACCTACGCCTTGACAACTGCTCCGAATTACAACATTATCTCTGATCCTGAAGTGTGGAATTACATTTATAAGGATTATCCAATTGTTACCGACCTTGAAATTAAAAATTTTATTGGATCCTTATAAATAATTGGTTAGTTAAAATTATAAATCATATGAATTTAATTAGTTTTTTTAATAATTAATATATTTATCTTTAATATACTAATATACTTTATTAATAGTTAGCAGGAAATCTAATTCACCAACTAAAAATCACCAAAACCACTATTATTTTGTTGATGATGATAACTTGATGTAGATGATGATAACCCGATGTAGATGATGATAACCCGATGATGATGATAACCCGATGTAGATGATGATAACCCGATGTAGATGATGATAACCCGATGATAATGATAACCCGATGATGATGACTTTGAAGAATTGGTGATTTTTTTGGGAGGAATATATAATTTAGTTATTTTATATTAGTTTATCTATTAGGATTAGTTATTTAGTTAGTTTATTTCTTAGGATTAGTTATTTTATAATGGTTTAGTTATTTTTTATTATTTGATAGGATTAGTTACTTATAGTTATAGATATTTGTTATTTAGTGATTATGTAATATTCTATATGTATTAATTTGATTATGTATTAAAGAATTTTATTTCAATAAAATTCAGTGGGGGGTGCCCCACTATAAATATTTACACCCGATTGAATTAATATAAATTATTAGATATCACCACGTCGGTTAGCCGTGATATTCATAACGCTCATAATTTTAATGATTAAAAAAAATAATTTTAAATAGATATTCATTTGTCTATATTTTATCGTTAATTTTTTTTATCATCGATATAAAATTAATTTGCCGTGAAAAATATAATACAGAATTTTATAGTCTGTGGAAATATCGCCAAAATCATATCATGAGCGATCAATTAGTAAAAATAGAAATATATATTAACTCCACTTTTCTTCAAAAAAACAATCCAATATAAAATAACTGTAATAAATTATAAATAAAAGAATGTTTTTTTCCTATATATTCACACCGTAGTTAATAAAATATTAAAATTTTTTTAAAATATTAATTATGATAACAATCTAACTATAAAGTGATTCCTGTAAGAAAAATTCAATTACCTGGTTTCTCTTTTTTCAAGTGGAAATTGTTCTATATCATTTATTTTTAATAGTAGTAATAATAATCCATCATTATCATATCAAAGCAATAGTAATATGTAAAATTCAATAACTCGTCAAGAAATAAAAAGAGAAATAATAATTATAATGGAATTAATCGTGATAGTAAATATACTTTTTATTTATGGACATCGAACACCTACAGAACAAGCCAAATTTGATTTAAATAGTGGATTAAATTTTAAAATTAATGAATTAAATACGATAATTCAGATTACGGTGATTTATATTTAAATGATGACTTTTATCAAAACGTTATTCTCGAGGTGGAAAAAATAATAATTATAATAATAATAATAATATTATTATTATTATTATATCAATAAAAGAAGAAATAGATGATGATGGAAATGATTTAACGGTCAATTATCCATTAAACCAAATTCCACTTTATCTTTGGATTCGACAATTTATAATTTACCTCAACAACATATTAATGATTTATTATCCGTTTATCCTGATAATGATATTATTAATACTGATAATAATAAT